TCCTGAGATATTCGGCACTCTTAGCTATTCCTATTTTTTTCCGCATGCCTTATCCTGGACTCTAGAACAACAACCTGCCTGCTTGTACGCATACTTCTTCAGTCACTCTTTCTCAGGCTGACTGCTGGAGTCTTGTTCTCCATGCCAAAATAATAATAATGATAATAATAAAATAATAATAACAATAATGCATTTAAAAGGTGTAAGTGAGATGAACCAGGCACAGAAAGATAGACAGCACATGTCATCATTCTTCTGTGGAATTGAAAGAAGCTGACGGCATAGACATAGGAAGTGCAAGCGTGGTTAGTAGAGGCTGTGGAGGGAAAGGGGAGAGGGTTAGCCAGCGAGTGCCATGTCCCAGTTAGATAGGAGGGGGTGTTCAAGAGGGTGATATGATCAGTACAATCATATTGATATTTCAAAACAGAGAGATTTTGGAGGATATTCTTGACACAAAGAAATGGTAAGTATGTGATACACTAAAAAACTTGAACTCTTCCAGAGTTCAGTTTCCTGCACCCATAGCAACTATCCATAACTGTCTCTGAAGAATCTGATGCCTTCTTCTGGCTTCCACAGGAACCCACACACATGGAACCTATCCTCACACAGATAGACATACACGCACATGAATGAAAAACAAAAATAAACAATTTTTAAAGAATTTTAAAAATGGATAAGTAGTAACTCAACATATACTATGTACAATGTTGGGAAGGGTTAAGAATTGACCTGGAAGCTGGGAAACTCAAGTTCAAAATCCTGGACGTGGCTCTGAATACTTACAGGACCATGAGCTGTTTAGAAGGATGTCTTTGCATTCTGCTTCCTCAATTTGCAAAGTAGAAATGACAGCAGCAGTCACCTCATAGAATATCACATATATCTACAAAGTGATGAGAATTACAGACTTTTATAGTGTTCAACAAATGTTAGTGGCTACGTGATCATTATTAGATACTTTGCAAACAATGGGTCATTACTAGAATTGAATGGCATCAGTGACAACCGCTTTGGGAATGTTGCGTTTTCTGATCACCTTTGAAGAAACGCATGTGGTCAAGGGCAGCCAGACTTCAATCCTAAAGAGAGCAATGCAGAGCACTGGCATCATGTGGTCTGTTTTGATGAGGACAGATAATGCAAGGCAGCAGGATTCAGTCACCGAAGGAGAACCTAGTGTGAAGAGCAGCACAGTCCTGTCTATGCCCACAGGTGGCAATGGGCTTTGGCTGGGCTAGCCCTGAAGATAGTCTTGGTATTTTAATTTGCTAGGTAACCATGAGGCCTGCCTCCCCCGTCCTCTCAGAGATTCTGGGGATGAGCCAGAATACACTCTAACTTCCTAATTAAATATGGCGAGAGCTACAGTTGACAGCACATAGTGCTGGCTGTTGGCTTCTTATCTAGTCATAGCTGCAACAATGTTGGTTCCTTTTCAAATGAGTGCTGCAGCCGAAAGTCAATGGCTTGACATTGCTGGACACCAGCACTCTGCCGTCCTTTATTTCTCAGGTGTCCTCTCCATGTGGCTGTGTTAGCCTTGCCTATCTACGAGACACCAGCAGCGTGAAGGGATAGGCCACTTTTCCATGACAGGATTCTAGGCAATAGCAACAGCAGCTGATACATGCGAGCCAGCTTTAGAGGTAGTAGTAGGAGCAGCACTCACTCTGCCCTCTTTGGAGCTGGCTCCATAGGAAGTCCCTGGGCTTCTGGTTTCCTTCAAGGTGGTGCTGTGGTCTCTATGGCCTCACAGTAGTGGCTGTTTCCTACCTACAGCAAACGTGGACTCTAGTTCAAACAGCGTCTTCCCCGTGACTCCCCAGCCCACGTGTCAGTGACTTTGCTGCTCCACCCTCTTTTCTCCAGCCTTCCAGAATGTCTCATCTGTTCCCTGTGTTACATGCTCTCTGTTTCAGATTATCTGAGAATCTTCTGTTTTCACGACTGACACAAGAACCGAAGTATGTAAAATTCTGTCATGAATTCTTGGCTACATCATTTGTGGTTATACTTCCTCAAGGGAGAAATTTTTGAGTGCTCTTTCAATAACCACCAATTAAAGTGATAATCCTATGCCATGCATATAGTACATACATAATTCATGAAATAAATCAAGTTTAAAGGCTGAAGACAGCTTGCACAGGCTTGTGACACGGCTTTGACACTTGTGTGTGAACTCAGTGAGTCATCTCGGCCCATCTACAGTACAGAGAAACTTGGGTTCCTATCACTCTGATCATAGAGGATGTCAGTCTCTGGAAGGCTTAGGACAAAGCCTGCCATCATGGAATCACTCAGAAAATGCCAGGTATGTAGTTAGTGTTGGTGTTGTTAAGATGCTGATTTTTTCCCTAAAGTTAACAGAAGACAAAATCAAAGGACAATCGGAATTATGAATTATGAATGAAATCTGAGGTGAGATATTCTTAGTAAAAAGTTCATTCCAAGTTTTCTGGGATTAGGTAAAGAAGAGACACTGGCAGCAGACTTAGGGAATAGCATGGGCAAGATAGACTGTACTCCTAAGGCCCAGAGTCCTACAGAGATCTAATATTATTTTATGTCATTGGTATTACCTATATTCACTATCAACACAGCATATAAATTAAAATTGTTTTTAAAGCTCAAACTTCTGTACCATGTAAGTTAAATTCTGTAACCAGGACTAAAATTAATTCTTTTATAATATTTTCATTTATTTTTTAAAACTGTATCAAATACCAGGCTTGCATGAGGGTTCAGCAGGCAAAGATGCTTGGCACCAAGGCTGATGACCTGTGCTCAGTCTCTAGGACATGCATGGTGGAAATAAAGCACTGACTCCTGAAAGCGCTTTGTTCTATGACCTACACATATATGCCAAGTCACATGTGTGACGCCCCCACATATATACAAATAAGGAGGCATAATAAAATATATCAAATTCTTAAAGTTTGCTAGAAAACGTGAAGTGTTACTTCGGATAGTTAATGTTTTTTTTTTTCTCCAAAATTAGAGAACAAAATGTTACCACTATCTTGATGAACAGTTAGTTTTAAGAAGTGGCTGTTTCGTTAGGAATTAAAACATAGAACTCTCAGATTCTAGGCCAATACAGAATAAAAAAAGACAAAAAAAACATTTACACTAAACATTGTTTTAAGTAAAATCTTTCCAGGTAAGTTTTTCAGGAGGAAAGTCCATTTTGTATAGGTCAATAACTGTACTTGTGTTTTTATGCTGGAGTTTAATCAAATTTTGTCACTCATGTCAGAGATCCATTACAAATACAAATAACCGAAGTCTGAAACTTCCCATGTGTCTACCACTGCAATCCATGTGACACCTAGTGAGCCACAGTCAGGATGAATCACAGCCATGCAATGTCACAACTGCTTGGGTGGACAACCACTTCACCAAATTATCAAATATCTACTCATGATGGTCTATTATGAACTCATCATTTATTCCAAGAATTATCAACATGGCCTATATGTGTAATAGCAGATAGTAGCGAATACTTAATAAGACACTTTATTTACATCAATTCACTTTGTCTGAATAAAGCCATCTTATAGATGGGGAAACTGAGACACACAGATTGAGTAGCTCCCCCAGGGTGGCACAGACATAAAAGAAAGAGGTGGAAAGAGTAGGGACTTGAACCCAGTGTGGTCAGGTTCAAGGTCCTGCTCTAGGCTGCATGTTCTCATACACAGGCTCCTCAATATGATTTACTGCAGACTGCTATTTGCTTAAACAATTTGTGTGTGTGTGTGTGTGTGTGTGTGTGTGTGTGTGTGTGTATGTGTGTGTGTGTGTGTGTGTGTGTGTGTGCGCGCTCTTGTATGTGTGTGTCTAAGTGGGTACACATGTGCATGTGTGGAGATCAGAGGACAACCTCAGGCATTTGTCTTCCACCTTGTTTGAGACAGGTTGTTTCTCTGTGTCGTTCACAATGGTGGACATCAGACTATCTGGTCCACAATTTCTAGGTATTCTCCTGTTTCTGCCTTCAAATTTGCCATAGTCTTGGGAGTTTGAACTCAGGTTCTCAAGTTTATGTGGCAAGCACTTTACCACTGAGCTATCTCTCCAGTCCATTTTCTTCCATTTTAAAAATCCAAACACAAATGTTTAAAACTATAACTTACCTTTCTCATTCGAAATGGTAATAGCTCTGGATTGTTGGACATAGATACAAATGTCTCCTATCATCCCTTCCTTGGAAACGCATATCATTATAATAACAGCACACCCCAACAAATATGTATGAGGCATGCTAAATAAGAGGTAATAAAATTTCCCCTGGTATCTATTATATTTTAATAGTGCTGAGGATAATACAGAGCTAAGATAATGGAGCTAGGCAAGGAACTGTGGGAAGAATCTTCTTGTAAGGCAGATCTTGACTGTCCTGTCATAGGCTGCTGTATCATGGAAACACTGGGATGCAAGAGCACAAACCAGGCAATTGCTATACAGTCCATCTAGTCCATGTCACAGACAGATACAAGCAACTTTCTTGAATTGTTAGGGCTTTAATTAGCTTTACTTTATTTCCAGTGATAACTGTCCTTGGATAAGACACACAATAAGTTTGTCTTGTAATAAATTCCACAGTATAGAATAATTAGAGCACTTATTGCTTAGAGCAATAAGCTAAGTTGTTTACATATTAAATGTTATTAGAATAAATTACCACTAAAACAAAAATGTCATGCATAAAGACACTAGAATCACATTAAGACAAATTAAAAGGGTAAAATCTAACTCCATGTTCTCAAGTTTTTTATGCCCTTATTTTCTAGTTTATGAACTTACAGATAATTTAATAAGACAATTTTAGTTTTGTTAGGTTCTATTTCCTTCAAAGGGAGGGTGCAATGTCCTAAGTTTCCATTCCATGTTCAGAGTTTTCTTGATGCAAGATCTCTGGGATCCTAGGTAATAGTCACTACTCACTGTATTAATTTCTTTTCTGTTGCTGTGATAAAATACTATGATCAAAAGCAACTTAAGGAAGAATCAGTTTATTTTGGCTTACAACACCAGAGGGAAAGAGTCCATCATGGTAGGAAAGGTACAGCATGACTGTGGGAGCAGGAAACTGGATGCTCACATTTCCATCCACATACAGGAAGGAGAGAGAGAGAACAGGAAGTGAGGCAAGTCTATATACCCTCAAAGCTCATCCCAGTGATCTACTTCCTCCAGCAAGGCCTTGCCTCCTAAAGATTCCATAACATTATCAATAATTCCACCATCAGGGGACCAGGTGTGCAAATACTGGAGCCTATGGGGGACATTTCTCATTCCAACCACAGTCGCCTTCACTTATCTTTGTTTTTGAGTCATCGGGCAGAGAGGGGGTGGGACAAGTGACAGGTGTTCGTAGTAGTATTGTATATGAAAGAGCTGCTGGAATTCTGGAAAGTGCAGGAAGCTTCCTTTTGTCCCATTCAGAGACAACTCTGTGGGTCATTCCAAAGCCATCCTTCTCCCCAAGGCTTCCGTGGCAAGTATGGACAGAGAACAAAGATATGACTGTTTCACTTACCCCTTTGCTGAAAACGTCAGTTCTGGTGTGATAAATACGAAGCAAGAACTTTCATTTGTTGGGAGTTCAGTGAGTTAGTGAGAAAACAGGAGACCACAGAGGCATGCAATCATTCCATTTACAAACCACCTCCAACAGTCAGAAGAGCAAACAGTTTTAAGTCTTGAAATGAGTACGGCTCCTATCAACTGAACAGGGAGAGAGATCTTCTTTGTCCATTCTGGACTAGTTGATCTGGAGCACACTAAATGAAATACACAGCACTTGATTCTTTAAAACTACATAGCAGTGTATATGTGCACAGTATTCCCCCATTCATTGTAATGTCTACATATGTGTGTGTGCACATATGTAAAGTTCCAAAAGGCATTTTAAATATTATAGTAGTTATACAGATTTTTTTTATAAACTCTATGCTGCTTGGAAAACATCTTTTAAAAATTATTTGTGTTAATGGTATGCTTGCAAGTGAGACAAGGTGGATCTTACACTTCCAACTCCCTTTGTATTATTCCTACAAGATGTGCTGATTATGATTAGAATCTTTTGGTCATACCAAGGTAAGAATCTCTGCTCTTTCTTAGTACATGCATGTGGTCTTTTGTGTGGTATGATGTAACAATATTACATTAATCTTCCAAGGTGACAGCAAACCTTTCAGGGATGATAGAAGTTAAGCCTGTTTTTGATTGGCTTCTATTTGTTAGTGGTGACCAGCAAAAAACAACACGCAACTTTCAAGTTAGCAAATTGTTGATTTCAAGATAATGATTCTCCTTGGATACTGTTTTATTGAAAAATATATCTCTTCTGACCTATTGTGTAAGATTCTTATGTTATTTGCATATATCTTATCTGTGTGGTAGACACACATACACACACAAACAAACAAAACAATGAAGACTCCATATGGATACCTGAAATTTGCCATGCTGGGATATTCACACCACAGAAATGTAAATTACTTGACATTATTTTGATCAATATTCTGTATATCTAACTAACTTCTAAATGAAAAAAATATATCCATACTCCTGTGGATAATTTTGGAAGTTCCTTCTAAGTTTAAAATTCTAATATTCCTATAATTCCAGGTTGAAATATTGTACAATAAGAGCAATGGATAGCATCAGCACCGCAGAACCATCAACACTTAACACTATGCTGATTGTGTCTGGAGGACAGTTTGTCCTGATGAATAGGTAGGCAAGAAAGGTATTAAACTGATACAAAATGTATTGCTATAAGTATTAAATAAGGATGTGTTTCAGGAAACAAGCCCTGAAGTCGCCCTAAAATATGATTCAGTCTCACACTCTAATTATAAAGTATAATTTACTATTCCTCGTTGTAGATCAGAGATATAATGTGTATGTTCCTACTCCTTGTATCTTCGGATATACATTTATAAAGCAGCTGGTTGAGGATGACATCAGTATACTTTATAGGTGATTGTCCCTGTGCATCTATAGGCTGAAACTGAATTCCATGGGACTTGGAAATTCTGTATATCTAACTAACTTCTAAATGAAAAAATATATCCATACTCCTGTGGATAATTTTGAAATGAAGTCAATGCATTCTACCCTTAGAAGCATTTCTTTGGAAGGCCATGTTAGTCACAAAGAATGGGTTACATACCTCAGAGTTCCAAGAGAAGAAAATCCAGACTGCAAATCACACCCTAGTAATGAGAATGACCACATGTCTTTCAATTATTAGTTGGAAGAGTTCTTTTTTCTTGGTGCTATTGGAAAAACGCTTAAGTCCCATGAACCTCATATTTGAGCAATTGCTTACAACTGAACCTTTCTACACTGGGCAGTAACAGGATGAATCTGCTGAGAAGTTAATCTCTATGTCTTGAAAAGGAATATAATATCTAAATTACAATGTCTGGGAGACATATTGTAAATTAGACATTTAAAGGTAGAACCTGGAAATATAAAGAAGAAAGAACAAGTTAGTATTCAGTGATAATTTCTAGAAATGACTATTTCATCTCTTACACATTTTTCACCCATTCTAGAAACTGCTTCCTCACAAATTACTTTATTACAAGGAAATTATACTAACTTGGTTATGTAATTTGAGAGGAAATTATAAGGAAATCCTATTTTGTTGATAAATTTTACTCCTGAATTTTATATTTGGCTTTTAAATTGTTAATCATTTTTCTTTCCACATTTTTCTTGTGTTGGGACATAAGCTGCTTTTAACACTGTAACTATGAGACTCAGTTTGGTCTCTTTTGCTTACTGATTATGAATAAATTGATATAATTCTGGCTAGTTTTTAAACTTACAAAAAGTAGGAATAAAAAGACCTAGGAGGCAGTTGTAAAAGTGTACCAAGTGGATTTCTTCACATGTTCCTGTGGAAAGGCTAATATGCGTCTTTCCCACTGTTAAGTAAAGTAAACAGCCACACCAGAGTGGCTCAGAGCTGCACACTGACACCTGGAGAAAGTCCCAGGTAGATCTTTCCAACAAAGAACACAGAAGGAAATGAACATTCACAGAGCAAACTGAGCATACATGCATTACCTATGCTAGACAGTAGAAAGCAGCTGTCCACACTGGAAGAGGCGCTGGCTGGGATTGAGAAAATGTAGGCAGAGCTCAGCTTTCATAGGAACTGAAAAACAAAACAAAAAACATCTAGGGCAGCAGTTCTCAACCTGTGGGTCATGGCCCATTTACGGTCAAATGACCCCTAAAAACTTTGGAAAACACAGATCTCTCCATCACGATTCATAACAGTACCAAAATTGCAGTTATGAAGTAGCAACAGAAGTAATTTTATGGTTGGGGGTCACCACAATAGGGGGAACTGTATGGAAGGGTAACAGCATTAGGAAGGTTGTGAATGTCTAGGAAATGCTGTAAGACATTTAGCATCCCCATCCCAATCCCACCCCAGTCATAGCTCTGAGACAAGAATGCTCACCCACTGAGAAAAACAAAACAAAACAGGCAGTCCAATCCATCTTCCATTTTCTCCACCCATAGCTTTCTCCCTGTCACAGACACACATCCACAATCATGGATCCCAGTGAGGAAGGGGTCTGTGCACACGCTCCACCATGTATGCTTGGGACAGACATTTGGAAGCGCATTTTATAGATTCCTCCAGCCCAGGTGTCCACAACAGCTGTTTGAAGTTCACGGACACTTCTGCTGATTTTCCTTTCTCTTACCCCACTCTTCCTCTCCAGATTCTCATCTGTGTCTTTATTAGTCTTTGCTCCCAGGGAAACTCAAACTAAAATCAGTCCCCCCCACTCCCTTTTTGGGCTGCTTTATACTTTCATCCTTACTTTGAAACAGTTCCAAGGCTCCTCCTCAGAAGAGCCTGACCTAAGAAACACCTGATTTAGGTGCTGCTTTAATTAAGACACTATAATTGAGCCTGCCCATCATCATCCCTTAAGTGTGCATGTTCACTCCAATTCTTGCTATATGGCAAGCTCACAAAATGGATAGAATACATAAAATATGTAAAAGAAAAGAATAAATGGAGAGAAAAGAGAGGGGAAATAAGACCAGTGTAGTAGTTTGAATGTAACTGGCCCCCATAAGCTCACAGGGAGTGGCACCATTAGGAGGTGTGGCTTTGTTGGAGTGGGTATGGCCTTGTTGGAGGAAGTGTGTCACTGTGAAGGTGGGCTTTGAGGTCTCCTATATGCTCGAGCCACTCTCAGTGTCCCAGTTCACTTCCTGTTGCCTTTGGATCAAGATGGAGAACTCTCAACTCCTTCTTCAGCACCATGTCTGCCTGCACTCCGCCATGTCACACCATGATGGTAATGGGCTAAATCTCTGAACTGCAGGCTAGCCCCAATGAAATGTTCTCCTTTTTAAGAGTTGCTGTGGTCATGGTGTCTCTTCACAGCAATAGAAATCCTAAGACAACCAGTATCTCTTGTTAACATGAGTTATATGTTTCAACCATCCTAATTGCAGCTCCCCAATACCAACCCTATTTCTCATTTTCTTAAGTTGTATTTATTCCTCTCTCTCTCTCTCTCTCTCTCTCTCTCTCTCTCTCTCTCTCTCTCTCTCTCTCTCTGTGTGTGTGTGTGTGTGTGTGTGTGTGTGTGTGTGTGTGTGTGTGTGTGTGTTTGAGTGTACATGTGCCACAGTACCCATGTGGACGTTGGAGGTCAACGTTCAGAAGTCTATTCTTTTCTTTCACTGCGGGTCTGGGGATTGAACTCAGGCTGTAGCCAGCACTTTCTCCTGTTGAACCATCTCAAAGGCTTTCTGCTTCCTGTCTTTGATTTTTACTTATTCATCTCATAAAAACAGTCCTGAGATGAGCTTCTTATCTTAATTCCTGAATACAAGCAAAAAGACTTGGTTAAATAAAAGTAAATGAAATTGTTTCAGGAACAGCAGGAAAATAAAACTCCCAACCAAGTTAAACACATGCATGTACGCACGAGCACACACACACACACACACACACACACACACACACACACACACACACACAAACCACATAAATGCCCCTTCATGGACAATCTCAGGGAACAAAAGAAGTTGCACGACTGTGTCTGGCCCAGGAACAGAGCAAACACGGTGGTGCTGTATGGTGTTGGGAAGGCTCAGAGCCCTTCAGTCTGCCTGAGAGCTGCAGTAGGGAAAGGCTCACTAACCCAAAATGATGCTTGCCTGTCATGGCTAATGTCTGATGGGATAGTAGGACAAGTGGACATTACTAGTTACATGGAACTGTCAAAAATACTTACAAGTGGGCTAAGGATATAGCTCGGTGGTAGAGCCTAGTATATTCAAGGCTCATGGTTCACTTCCCTAACACTTTAAATAAACAACCTCCCAATCCCTTTACTTTAGGACAAGAGAGACCTTGAGCAAATTCATTCTTGTCTAGACTGGCCCAAGAGTTAACTGAAGTGGGCCAGCATGACAGGTGATTTTTTTCTCACTGATAGGAACCATTTTAAATCAGGACGAAAAAACATAGGTGGTACAAGGATAAATATTCTAAAATCAATATTTTATACACTGTAGGTTGTGACCAGTCAATGGGACATAAAATCAATACAAGGATCCTAACCAGTTATCTTTAAAAGATAGGACAGAGGATTATTTTGGAGAAAGAAAATTGTCAGAATGCCCATGATTGTGGATCTGTGTATGGAAGTGTTAAGTCACAATATAATGATTTCTTCACTCTTGTTTGTAATTTAAAGTGCCTGAATGTGGGGCTAGAGGTGGCTCAGTGGTTGAATATGTACGGCTCTTGGAGAGGACCAGAATTCAGTTTCTAGCAACCACTGAGTGGCTCACAATCACCTGTAACTCTCCAAGAGATCTGACACCATTCTAGGCTCTGTAGGCACCTGCATTCCAGTGCTCATGTGAATATATAACAAAGCTTCATAAACAAGCCTTGAAAACAAAGTTTGAAAGACCCTGCTCTATACTGCTGTTCTCTAACAGTGCTTCTGACATCAAACATCACGCTTCAGATAAGAGTGGCCTCCTGGCCCCATCACTGGGGATTTTGAATAGGTACGAGATTAGACATCACCCCCCCCATACCAAAATCACCGTTTTAGATAAATTACAAATGAATCTATCACTGAAGTCTTGAGATGTATTAACCTAATATGCTGTTATTTGGCCTTGGATTATAGTAAAGTACCAGAGGCAATTAATAAAGATCAAATGTTTCGTTTTGTCTCACAATATGAGAGATTTTAGTCTGAGATCCAGTGGTCCCACATCCTTTCAGTTTGGCAAGGGCAGTCCATCATGGCAGAAATTCAAATGAGAGCAAAACTGCTTGTCCCATGACCAAAGAAGCCAAGAGAAAGGAGACTGGGGCCCAGTAATTACTCCCTTCAAGAGCATTAGTCCAATGCTCCCACCAGGATCCACCTCGTAAAGACCTCCCCCCTCCTATCAGTGCCATCATGGTGACAAGCCTCAAACACAAGGATCTCCGAGGCTGTAACAGATGTTACCACTTCTAGTGTGGTGCTGAGTAAAGGACAGCTTGGTGTTTCCCTTTCTAGCAGGACAGAAGTCTTTCTCATAATCAGCATCGCAGGGAAGACCTTGTGTGTGCATGCATGCGTGTGTGTGTGTGTGTGTGTGTGTGTGTGTGTGTGTGTGTGTGTCTGTCTGTCTGTCTGTGTGTGTAGGTGGGTTTGCCCATGTGTGTAGAGCCCAGAGTTCAACCTTGGGTGTTGTTCCTCAGGCATACTCCCTTATCTTGTTTTCTTTGGGAACAAAGCCTCTCACTTGGCTTGAATTCACTACTAGGATAGTCTAGCTACCGATCACCAGCCCATCTCCACCTCTCCTGTGCTGGAATTACAGGCGTGCACCACCATGCCCCGTGTTTTTATGTGGATACTTAGAGCCAAACTTGGATCCCCACGCTTGCACAGCAATCACCTTACTAACTAAACAATCTCTCCAGCCTGAGACTGTCATTCTTGATAAGAAGCAGGGTGACACAGTGGTTAAAAGGGTTTCTGTGACATGAAACAAACTTGAATTCTAATCAGTGTGCAACTTGCCAGGTATGAGAGCTCTAAGACCTCATTTCATTTGTTTATAATAAGGAGTTAAGAGATATCCCTACTACATAAGTTTAAAAGAATTAAATGTGACACAGCGACTTGTGCAGAATAATCTAGAAATATTAGCCACTCCCCTCTATGGAGCTCCATCTTGAGAAAAAACATTATTTGATTTATTGTGGTAGACATTAGTTGAGCATGGAAAGATCTACTCTGAGTGTTTCTGAAAACACAATGATGGAAAGCAGCCCTTACTTTCATGGAACCCTCAGTCTGATGTGGTTGTAAACATACAGAAAATAAACTTATAGGTTATTAGGTTGGCCCATTCCCCCACTTAACATGTGAGGAAAGTAAGACATGCACATCTAAGCAGGCTATCCAGAGGATGTGTAAGTAGAGAAGAATCAGAAACAGAATACAGGCCCTACACCATGCCAATCCTTCTTCCTAGAGTAGAATCCACATAGAGAGCTGAGTCTTGACAGCTGCTCTCTACATGGGGATTTATATGAATACTTATTTGTATGTATGTTTACTCTCTACTGATATAAAGGATATATAGCACAGATTTTACAGGTGATGAAGCTGTTCAAGATTGTTATTTTAGAATCCAGACGGTCAACTAATTCTCACAGAACACTTAAGTTGATTTTAACGAGTATAGCCATAGCCAACACGTGGTTGCAATTCGGCTATAATGTGACAAATCAGATCTGGGTCTCAATCCACTGACTGCTTCTGATTGCAGGACAATACATACAACATAGTATGCAGCACCTTGATAAACTCAAGCATCTAATTTAGTTGGGTAAATGCATTCTCACTGTTATGTAACCAATGCCCAGAAGTTTTTCATTTCATAAAATGAAAACTGTCTACTCATGAAACAATAATTCGTTATTTCCTCCCCATCTCAGCCCCTGGGAACCACTGTTCTGGTTCTATTTCTATGAGTTTGATCCCTCTGGATACCTCATCTGAGTGAAATCACAAGTATTTGTCTTTTGGTTGCTGGCTTATTTTACTTTGTGTAACATACTTAAGACTCATTCCTGTGGTAGCATGCCTTAAGGTTTCTTACCTTTTGTATACATGGACCATCATATATACCACATCCATTGCATATATACCACATCCATTGCATATATACCACATCCATTGCATATATACCATCCATTGCATATATACCACACTCTTTTATATATACCACAACCACTGCACATATACCAGATATGTGGACCCATCCATATATTGATAGAGACAGGCTGTGTCTGTCCCTTGGCTATGTGAATAAAGCTACTATGAAGACAATTCTCCAAGAACCTCAAGACTTGACTTTCAATTCTCTTGAATAGTCACCAAGGAACGGGCCTGCTAGATGATAATAGTTTTGCTAATTTAATCCAAAATAATACTTTTATTTTATTTTTAATACTATTTTCCATGGTTTGGGCACCATTTTTGTGTGCCCACCATCAATACACAGGTATTCAATTTCTCCACATTCTCACATCTTCGACAGCACTGATTTTCCACATTCTAATAATAAACCTTCTAATGAAGTAAAGTTATCTATTGATACTTTATCAAAATGAAGAAATTGTCATGGAGTCTGACATGTATGTATTAAGCCATTTTTTCCTAATAAAAATTATGTTCATTAAACTAAAACCTGTTTGGCTTAGCACACTTAATGTTAAAACATCATTCATTCATCAATATGAGTGACTATTGAGTCAGATAGAGTCCAATAATCCCTCAGGTTTCCACACTATTCACACTGTGGCAGCTACTAACACCACATGTATTTAAACTCTATTTGTATCCTTTCCTCATTACATTTTTAAGTATGGATAAAGAGCATAAATGAATCAAACAGTAAATATTTTAGATTTTGTGGGTCATAAGTCTCTGTCACAATCATCTAGCTCTTCTAATGTACCATGAAGCTACTCAAGACAATGCACAAATGCATGGTCATGGATGTGTGCCAATAAAACTTTATTCATAATAACAGATGGCAGGCCCTAGAGAACTCAAGCCGTGTTGCTTGACATTTTCTCTTGTGTGAATTCTCTAACCACTGTTGTAGGACATACTGAACATGGAATTAGGAAGAAATGCAATGCTTCTTACCATGTTTATATCAATTGATTCAAGTAGACATAATCACAATGATACAAATAACAAAAAGTAGGTGAATAGTCAGGATATGATGCATTCTTAGTATTTAGTACTTTTGTATTTTAAGTTAACATAATTCAATTTTTATTAATGGTTAAAGTTAAAATATGGATTACAGTATTCCTGAGAACTTACAAACTGGTTCTCACAGTCTGTGTAGGTTGGTCCAGCTCTCCAGTATCTCCAGGCCCCAGATCCGGTCCTGCCCAGTGAAATTCTTGCTTCTTGCAGCCTATCAACTTTTAAGAAGGCTTAGAAGAATGTAAGAGATGGGTAGCAGGAGACAGAGGTGTGGCAGGCTGTCTTCCAGGCATAACAGGGCTATTCCACTCTTAATGTACAGAGTTATGATTTCCTGCATAAGTTCTCTACAAAGTTGGACCTGTCATGGAGGGGTAAGGGGCTCATGAGTCCCCACCTCTTCATGAAAATGTATGCCTGTTAATGACTGATGGGTGAAGGAGAGGCATTTTCTTCCCATGGTGTTGCCACTGCTAAAGGGCCCACACTCCTGTAAATAATCCAAAGGAAATTCACTGTGTCATCAAAGAAAAATATGGTACAATTGGAGGACAAGTTAGGAAGAGGATTAATGCAACTGGGAGAGGAACAGGAGAGGATATTGGATTTTTACATAAATTTGATCAAAACAGATTATGCACAAGTGTGAAAATATAATGAAACTCATTATTGTATATGACTAATTGTGTATAACTAATAACTAAAACTTTTCTAAAAGAATATACTCTCAATCTGCATATGGTGGCTCATGTCTGTAATCAGAGAACTCACAAGGCCATGACAGAACTTCAAGTTTTGAACCAGCCTGGTTTCTTGGTAATTGTTTTTACTTCATTACAACTTACTTCTACAACTTCATTACAACTTACTTCTACAAAAGCAACACCACCCGTATCATTTGACCAGTCTGACCCTAAGGCAGTTGGGTTTCTGACAAGACCTGCACCAGCTCCTGAACTCAGTAAAAAGGCTAAAACTCGTGTGGTCATACAGTGAGTCCTCTTTAGCTAGCCTAAGTGAATTTGTGCACACCTTAGAAGTTTCTAAGATTATCCCACATTTTTCCAATGTGGGACCCAAGAACTTGGGTAAGGTATGATGCATGGAAGACAGTACCTGTGAGCAGAGCGAGGGGGCTGCATTTTTACTTGGACCAGTGCAACTGATTTCACTTTGTCGTTTAAAGTCTCAATGTTCTCCCCTCTGCAAGCGAAGGGTAACAGTGACAGGACAGCACTCCATACCTGTGAAGGTAGATATTACCATAGTTACTTGAAAATTCTGACTAATCTGGTTTTACAGATGCAGATCATCATTTGTCATCTGAACTCGAACATGAGGCATTAAAGACTACCATTCCGTGAACCCGACAAAACACTTGAAGCTCTGCATAACATCCTGAGGTTGTTAAGGCAAATTCAAACTGCCAAGTGATGTTAACTTTGCGAATTTTTACCTGCATTTCCCTTAGCCATGATCTCTCTTCCTCTCCATGTCTTCAATAACTTAGAAGAGACATCTACTCAGACCTGTTTTTCCTTAGGTCTGGCCTCGGTGCCACCATTTCTGAGTTTTCCTTTCTAGATCCCTTCTTTCTACTCTAGGTTTACCATTCTCTTTTCCTCACGAATATGTCTCTCTGGCTTGCCATAGCAGATGTTTACTGAATACAGCACACTGTGGCCCTTGAATCGATTTGAGGCATGGAGTTACATTAAAATGCATGTGGCTTTTCTTCGAATCGGAAGCAACTTCAGTTCTATGATCCTTGCATCCATATTTATCAGTCCATTATATTCCATCACCCCTTTGCTGTTGTCAAGTTCTACCTCTGGCCTTCCTGTAGGTGCATACTACCAAACAGCACAGCATCATAGCTCTTTGATCATTAAACATGAGGCATGAATAAAACAGGTCTCCGTGTGGCAGATCTCCTCCTGTGTATTCTGTGAGGCTGCATTGCCTAATGCTTTCGTCTCATGAGCATGGAAGCTCAGCCAATGGGCCTTTGAGAACGTGACCAATAGCTCTGGTGTGAAAACCCAAATGAAATCTGCATGAACAGCACAGGAGACCTAATTATTCATTTCAAACAGGTGGAAAAGTAAATATAGAAATCTGTACTGAGTAGAGAAATACATTTTGCATTATTAGTAGAATACCATGCATTTACTAGAAAGCCTTTGTTGATGCAACTGTTAAGAGTAGTTGCCAAGGGTTATCTAAGCCAAGGCATTATTTGCCCTTTATATTCCTATTTATTAGAAAGAGAAAAGCCTTGCTTTTATATCTAAGTTTTTCACTTGTAATTGCCATTTGCTTTGCTGAAATGCCTAAGGATGCAAACAAAAAGCACACAGCATGGAGCTCTGGATTCCAGAGTTGACTCACTACATCTAGCAATCCATCCTGGACATCTTAGCAGGCCTATTTTGGTGCTGTTCTCCACACGCAGCAAGGCTGCAGAATCCCAGGTGTTGTGTTCCCACTGAACACAGAGCCAGGGTGCAAGAGTTGACCCAGGAAGCAAGAGCACACACTCATTAAAGCAGGGAGACAAGCTGGCTGGCAGTTTTGTGCATCTCCTAGTGCTGACCCCTTTGCTTGTTACAGAGTGGGGCCTGATGTCCCGGTGTATCTAGATTTAACAAGCTGTAGTTCACTGGGGACCCAGAGAGGGCAAAGAAGTGCTTGGTTGGTGAAAGAGAAGAATACATTGCTTATTTCGTGGCTAGAACACCATTTAAATAATGCAAACTTTTTTTTTTCTTGCATGAGACTGTATGTCTTGGACATCTGAACAGACATTAAGCAGTATGAGTAATACAGGGCTCTGGCCAACTGAACTAATCATGTTGGGTGGATTAATGATAGGTTCATGATAAGATTTCTGAAGTCTTAAGAATGATTTAAAAAGAGCAGCAGGCACCCCTCCATCTGAAGTGAACATGGAACACAATTCGAGGAGTTTTCTCATTCTGCAGCTGTCAGGTGGTTAATCAGGTAGAAAGACCTTCAACTGGACTGGGGAATTAGGTCATCATATTGACTTTTTTAATCTATCGGGTACAGATTAACACTGAGAACACTCTGTGGTGCCGGTCAATAACATATTTTGGGGAAAACAAAAGTGAGCAGTCATATATAACAAAAATCATAGTAGAGATACAAACCACAAAGTAGAAATACAAATACAGCCAGTGAATAGGATTTTCCACAATAAATAAAGATGTGTGTACACACGAGGAAATTTGTGGCTACTAGTGCAGTGCCAGAGTTCTCATGAAATGCCAAGCACAGATCTGAAACTAAGCATTAGATGGGGTACTAGGGAAATATTTTATTTCTTCCCTTTGGCATGATATTTTGAAAATGTTTTTATCACTTCAAAATAGCTTTTTTTTTTCTGTCCAGAACAAGCAAGACAGTCAAAGTGCATTAGAAAGTTGAGGGGGTTTGTTGTTGTTTTGAGGGACTTGTTTTTGTTTGTTTTTACCATTACAGGAATAAACACCAACTGTGAAGGAAAGCTAAGCTCCCCTGGTTGAGGTTTTAGACATCATCTTATAAAATCAATCCCATCAGTTGCTTCATGATACAACTATTTTTTTCTGCTAAAAGGAAAAAATTATGAGTCCTTGGAACTTCCGTTTCCGGGCTGATATTTGCTCTGATGTTACATATGGTGTAACGTTCATCCAGACCATTACATTTCCTTCGGCTGGATTTCCCAGCCGGAAAGTGAAAATCCTGCTGAAGTTTGGCCTCATCCTCAGACACTGTCTAGTTGCCTTAAACTGTGACTAAGTAAACTCCTTTTTGTCTGATGTGAAAGTCATTGTCTGAAGTAGAGGTCTAGTTATGACAATGAAAAGTAGCATATTTTATGAATAAATGAAAAATAAGTATGTAACCTAAATAATAGGTAAGCTTATCAGATGGACAGGGGAAGAATCAGATACAACAAGAGATATATATATATATATATATTGGACATTTTCTATTTGCCAAGCACTCTGCGCGTGCTGCTGAATTGGCATGCACTTTGTAGTAAATACTGTGGGGTACATATTATAAATGGGAAAGTTGCAACTCATAAAAGCTATGCACACGGGAAGTGGGAGAGGCCAAGACATTTACACAGCACAGTTGATTCCATAGTCGTACCAATTCTGTAAGTCCCTTGCCGAATCCCAGCATCCTCGTTCACACAACCAAGACTGTGAAACACTACATAAAGTCCTATGTCCTCACAATATAAATGGGCTGGCTGGCAGTTAAAACCAACACCAGTTTCTAAGCTTCTATTCCATTTATTTGTTCTTACTGAAATACATGCCCTTCTGTCAACCAAATGAAAATAAATGGACAGAAATCCTTTCATGTGAGCTAATAGGAAATAAGAAAGCTATGTTTCCTGCTTTTTGAACTGTGTGAGTGTGATAAGAAAATGCATTTTCTTTGGAGAGGAGCAAGTGTTTCAAACAAATGTCCAAAATATGCTTATGTAAATATTTATATTTTCCATCTACAGAATTATAGTAGACATATTCCTATTTTCTGGGAGGAAATAATGGCCCAGGAAAATTACCTACTAGATGCACAAAAATTAGAAATAATCTATGTGGGGAAAATAGCACAAAGAAGCTGTTCATTGGTCTCCCTGCTACTTTTTAAATCATGTTTTCATAGATTTTTTAAAAAATGTTATGTGTATGAATGTTTCATCTGCATGCATGCATGTGTATGCACCATACACATGCCTGGTTCTCTTGAAGGTCAGAAGAGAATGTCTGTCGGGTCCCCTGGAACTGCAGTTATGGATGGTTGAGCCACCATGTAAATGCTGGGAACCAAGTACCTGTGCAAGAGCAGAAAGTGCTTGTAACCACTGAGCCATATCTCCAGTCCCAATATTTAATTTCTTAAGACTGCATACTGTGGTTATTCAACATGTTAAGAAAAATCAGAATTTTAAAATTCTGTAATAATGTAAGTTACTATGATTTTCAGCTAAAAAAGAAAATTATTTTTCAAAAATAAACAGTATAGTTTGCTTTTCCGAAAGTGCATATTTTCTCAATGACGTATGTTGTAAGCAACAAATGTCCAAGTGAGTTCAACTCACTTTTGAAGCTGTTACAAGAGTGCACAGTGAAGAAGAAGTGAGCAATTTAAACTTGAGGGGAGGCACCAAATTAATCAGAAGCAGCCAGGTTCTGTGAGTTGTCTAAAAGGATTTTTTTTTTACTTAATGTAAATGAACTTTTACTGAAAAGCACTTATCGCTTATGTTGAGAGTGCTGTGTCCCCAGGAGGGCACAGCTTCCCCAGCACCATGCAGAAACCCTGAAAAGCACAAATGTTCTTTCTAGGGGGAGAAAAAAAATGCTGTGTTTCATTTTTATTTGTTCTATCATTTTACAAAAACCTTGATACATTAAGAAAAAGGCTCCGTACCAAGCTGGTTCTGTAAACTAGGCTTCAGAAAGAACTATTTCTCAGCCTGCCAACTCATTCCTCCTTAATTTTAAGTGGGCAGTCACGATGCATTAAGGTTGTTGCGTAAGTCAGATTAACCGAGTCTTCTTGCCTTATTTATATGAATGCTGCCCCTTCACAAAAATTAATATGTTGACATTTGCTCTTGGCGTTTTCTAACTAAAAAGACCCTTTAAGTGGCGCAGAAATTGTTTCTCTAATAATCTAATTTCTCTTATTCCTTTGTTACTCTTTTCTGTAACTGATAGCCAGAAAAAGAAAATTTTAAAAATCACTTAAGTGACCCTGTTAATGTTAAAGTTATGCTGTGATCTACCAGTTCTTTCTAAGTAATGCCTGAAAGAATTGATCAAGATCCAGAGCAATACTGATAGCCTGCTGGATTGGAGGGGGGTGGGAGGAGAGGGCGAGCCAGCCCAGATTTCTCACCATTTCAGGGCTGCTTGCAGCTTAGGAAAAGGAGATTTAGAGGAGAGAACAGGCAGAATCAAGCTTGCGCGCGCGCGCGCACGCGCACACACACACACACACACACACACACACACACACACACACATTCATGTGCAAGGATGCACTTTCACGCATGAACACACATGCACAGAATTCATGATGAAGTCGATGGTCCTGGTGTTATATCCTGGTCTGACTGTGCAGACCTCAAGTGTAGGTTTGAAGCCAGGTGCAGCCCTGTGGTGTGATCCATGGCTGGCTACATTGAGGCTCTGTTGCCAAGTCCTACCAC